TCTCTCTCTCTCTCTCTCTCTCTCTCTCTCTCTCTCTCTCTCTCTCTCTCTCTCTCTCTCTCTCTCTCTCTCTCTCCATCGTTGTCCTCTTTGCAGGTACGCGGCACCTTCCTTTAGCGACGCAGCTATGGCGGACCCTTCTCCTTCCTCAATGGCGCGTCTCAGCTATGGCGCACTGCTTCAACGACGATGGCGCCTGAAACAACGGGAACCAGCTTCGATACCAATGCAATCAGACTCACTTTCTTCTTCAACTCGCAGGCATGCAAACAGATGGCAATCAAACTGGCGCCAGGCGCCCACACAATGCTCAGAGATATGGAGACCGAGAACACAGTTCGGATGCAAACTCGCTGCAAACAGGCTATGGCGCCTGGGCGCCCAAATACTCTCCGCCAACACTTCGTCCACCACCACTGTTCGCACACACTCAACTCTGGATCACCCTGAAATGTTCCACACGCGTTCACCCTGTATCACACACGCACACACACACTACTGCCTATCACTAGCTATGGCAGCTATGGCCGCCGACTATCTCTTCGACAAGCAGCGATGGCTGCTCTACCACGTCCATCTTTTCTTTCATTTCCCTTTTTAATCTTTCTTCTTCCAGTTGGGTTTTCTTCTTTATCTCCCCTTCTTTCTGTCTTTTCCTATCTTCTTTCTCTTTCTTTTCCTCTGCTTGCCGACGGTCAATTTCTGCCTGTTCAGCAGGCGTGGGCCCTGGCTTTACCGCTCCAGACCTCATCATCATCCGGGAAGTACACACTCTCCCGAAACCCAAAGGAAAGAAGATGTTGAACAGGGGGGCCAAAAGAACAGAGAGGGCCATCAGTCCCTGCATTGGGAAGTCGTCCATGATGGGACTTAGCACAGGAGTCCCTCCGCTGGCCCCACCAGGTAAGACTCCCAACTGATCCTTAAGCTAATCTAGGTGGATGGGAGAAAACGATTTTGCTCTGTTTTTGTTTTTGCAGACTCTGGATGTCACTGCGGCAATAATGACTTTCAGATTTCCGATCTTTAAATATACAATAAGACTTTTTTTTTTTTACACGCTGTGCCTGCTGCTTGATCCTAATGTCAGATATTCAACTGATCAGAACAAGTACTATACTCGATCCTTATCAAAGGTCCACCTGGTTGTAAGTATTTCACTTTCTTTTTCTTTTCTTCTAACCCTGTCTGTTTGTCCTTGTGTGCAGGTAGCAGCTGGAGTGTTACTATGTCAGTTGCCTAGACAATATTTCAGTCACTATTTATCTCTTCTTAGTTTGATTATGCCTTATACATGGATTGCAACTGACGTGGCAGTCTGCCACCAACCCCCAGTGTACCCCTATCTTTACTACAGCGCAGGTGTCAGACCAGAGGGAAGAAGAGAGGACCAACAAGACTCTGACCACTCTTGATTCTGACGTGACCAGACCCTGTATCCTGACGTTCAGATCAGACCGTACACCAGGTGACTCGACCTGACAGCAGCAGCAGTGACCCCAGAGAGGATGAGGAGTAGAGTTTCACACACACACATGCAGCCAGGTAAGGGGATAAAGGATGCTTCTCTCTTTTGCAGCTGTCGTCGATGACGACTCCTCGTCGCTCCGCACTCCAACGCTCCAGGTAAGTACTTCTTCTGCCCCTTCCTCTTCGGCTTACTCCTCTCTTCTATCCCAATCCACTTCCTCTCACTTTTCCACCTTCACCATAGCCAGTATCTCTCTCTCTCGCCAGCTTCACTCAAGCCAGCGGATCAGCGAGTGCAATGAGTCTTGGCTCCGCTACCAAATTGCAAGGAACCTGTCAGTTCACAGCTTGCTGGAGTACAATACTTCGCATGCATTCATGTCATCACACAGATGAAATAGTCTCACACAAGATAGAGTTGAGATGAGATAGGAACCATGTAGCGCAGCTCATATTAACAAATCCACATTATACAAGAGTATCTTGAGTTCAAAAGTTCAGCGCCAATGAAATGCAAGTCTTCTTCTCTCATTCATCAACATGAGACCTGGCTCAGCCAGCGTCACTCTTCAGAACACAAATATGGCGCAAACAGGTGAGTGTCCACCATATCTCCCACTCCCTGTCTTCTCTCTCAAGATCCCTGTAGTAGTTCCCCTCTCACACTACGCATGCACACTCCTAGTCTATGAGAATCTACTCAGAATGCTCCTCGCTGATGTCCTAATACTAACCCTTCTAACACTACTATTAACACTCAGTCCTGCCTGGCGCAGCTATGGCTTCCCTACAGCCAGCGCCTGGGCCTTCTTCTGCTGGCGCAGCTTCTTCTTCAGCCAGCGCTCCTCCCTGCACCTTAGCGCACAAGTGCCTCAGCACTTCCACGCATCAATGCCAGTGGAAATCTGCCTGTGGGGAAGGCTGCCTCGTTTCTTATAGTGCTGGCTTCCCCTGGCGAGGTCTGAATCAATCTGTCTTGGGTCCTTCCCCAGTCCCAGCCTTTGTGGAGTGTGTCCCAGGTCCTTTTCCTTCAGGGGTTACTGCTGCTGCGGCCTTCAGGCCACAATTTCGGACTTCCAATCTGTATCTGGACTCTCCCTTTGACTCGAATCTGAACTGGGACCTTAACCCTTGACTTCCTTTTGAACAGACATACCTACTGCTTGAACAGACACACTGACTGCACGAACAGACACACTGACTGCACATACAGACACATCCCTTACATGAACAGACAGGACTAGCACATCCCCTGGCGAACAGATGTGACCCCCACATCTAAATATTGTGACTATTCGTCCAGTGGCACAACTGTGACCTTGACATTGTCTTTTACTTTAGCTAGGATGTGACCTTTGACCCAGAGAACATGTCCCTTGATCTGCTTTCACGAATTAAGCTCTGGGCGAGTGACCCCAATATGCTGCTTTTGTCGAACAGGGTCTGAATCGGGTAAAGGCCCTTTTACCAGAGGCCTCAACACCGTGGGTCCTGAAAAGGGGCCCGTGTACAGCCCAGCTTAGGTAGCTGCTACATCCAGAACCTGGCAATGAGCAAGAGTCTTTGATAGAGTGAATTTACTTGTTCTTCCACAAAATGATTGTCCTGTCTGCTTATGCCATTCCAGTTTTGTTTTTGGCACGGTTTTTGCTTCACCTGTTGTTTTCTTCCTATGAAGTGATTGTTGGGTCTGGTTGCACCATATCGTTTTCATTTATGACATGCATCTTCAGGTGATGAAGCAGCAAGAAAAGGAGCTGCTGGCGCATCAGAGATTGGAATGGAAGAAAAGGGAATTCAAGGCTCAAAATAGCATCTCCTTTGCTGCATCGAACTCGCCCCAAATTGCTGCTGATCCAAACCAGATGCAAGTGGACCCCAGTACATTGATCCGCCCTTGGAGCGGGAATGCTGTGGAAGGGCGGTCAAAGTTACTAAGTGCTTTTATGTCAACATCAAACATGGTTGGGGAAGGGGCCCACATGACCGAAGGTAGTGAGAGTACGACAGGAAAGGATGAGGGAACAAACAGGAAGGGTGGGAAGAGAGGGAAGAGGAGGAAGCGAAGGAAGCGGAGAAGGAAGCTAAAGGACGATGTATCCCTCTCGACAGGAACCCAAAGGGGCTCCTCAGAGGGTGAGGGAACATCCACTGCAGATGACGGAGGTGAAAACAGAATAGCCAGTCGTAAAGCTGTGAATGCACCAATCCCTGGACGCGACCATGCACTCATGAGCACACTCTATAAGAGCAGCACGAGAAGGAGAGGCAAGATTTCTCGGGGGCCGGATGGACACCTAGTTTTGCAGGACACTGATGGCAGTGATGATGACGAGGATGATGATGATGATGGTGAAAAAGGGGGACAGGGTGATGAAGATGATGGTGAGGATGGAGGTAGTGATGACGATGAAGATGAGATTGAGCGTGTGGAGGGAGATGGAGGCCTGTGGACGCCTATGGACTGGAGTGGTGTTGGATCCCGTGATAGATGGGTCGATGCCACAGGGGATAAGTTCATCCCTGCAGGGTCAGTGAGAGAAGACACGCTCAGTGGTGAAATTGCATACAGAAAGAAGTGCTTGGAGCTAAAGGTGGTACCATTGTCAAGGGTGTTGGGGCAGATCAACAGTCAGGTTGCCAACCTCTCACATTGTGCGCTAGGAAGGTACATAGCGGTACATCATGATTATTACTTTTTATGGTTAATTATTGAAATTATGTTATCGCCATTAGTATTACGCTATCAACTTATCGCTACTAGTATTATTAGTATATGATTGTTATTGCAATGAGCCAGACAACGAATGCTGAGATTTCTGCTGTTTTCTGAGAATCGATGTTGTTGGTCTGATGTATTGATTTATTTTTTTTCCCTATGTTGTCCCGTCGCCCGCCCCGGTATGCCCGGCCAGGCACGCCTGGGCCAGTTGGGCAGAGGGGGGGTCGCCCGGCAGAACCAGCCGGGTCAAAAAAGAGGCAAGGATCCAAAAAAAAAAAAAAAAAAGGGACTTCAGGCCAGGACTGCGCTTCGCAATCACACTCCGATTATTCACACTTGTCTTGCATGCAAACAGCGATACAGCAACTGGCGACATGCGCCCTGACAGTACTTAAGATATCGTAACCAGATACGAGTTCTCTTCAACTGGCTATGGCGACTGGGCGCCCACACAACTCACTGTTCGCACTCTGGATCACCCTGGATGTCCCACACGCAACACTCAGTATCATACGCAACACACACACACGCTATGCTACAGCTATGGCAGCGCTAGCTGCCACTACCTATTGCTACACTACACTTCTCTGCCCACTTCGTCTTCGGGCACACTGCAGACCTCCTCGCACAAGCTGCTAAGGCAGCGCTTCCGCATGGCATCCGCAGGAATGAATGAATGGCTGGACGCAGCCTCTTGATTTATACTTCTGCGCTGCGTTGGTCTGCCCTGTATCCCTGGCCCATGGTGCACACAGTTCCCCCCCGTGGTACTTGCTGGACCGGACTGGTACGTTCTAGACTCTCCCATGACTGCATGGCGACTACCCTACGACGCAGTGCACTACGACGCAGTGCAGTTGCACTGGGGTCCTACTATTTGCCCTTGCCACTTGTCCTCGTCTCCAACATGGGCTTGCTTTAGTCACACCACTTGCCCACTTGCCTGCACCACTTGACCACTTGCCAACCTTCTAGAAGGACTGCAGCTAGCCTTCTAATCTACAGGTCTACAGATCGAATCCTGGCTACCTATAGACCTACGACAGACCAACTTACCAGTGGCGGTTCTACAGGTCGCAGGTTCAATTCTTCGAGTTGACACAGGTATTGTACACAGGTAAGTTGGGGAACTAGGGATCGAGCCCTGGGATCTGCATCAGCTACTTCAAACTGGTGAATACCGTTTCAGCTTGGCCTAACCAGTCAGAATCCGGTCCTAAATTCGGTTTTTGTGATGGGTCATCCAGGGGGGGTTGGGGGGTATAAACAGTGACTAAAGGGCTTAAAAGGGTACATTTGGACTCATGTTTTCTCATTTATTTTTATCTTGAAATTAACAAGGAGTTTCGAGGTGACCCTCAGTCCAAAGTCGTTTGTATGGCAATTTTACACAACTTTTTTTTTTTTCGGATTTTTTTGAAATTTTTTATCTTCTATTTTTTAAAATATTATGCACTGAGCCAAGAGGCAGACAATCTCACACAGATCCAATGGAAAAAGTTCAGGCTCATCAGACCAATCAAAATCAGAAGCTTACAATGGCTAATCACCTACGCGGCATTACCAGTGAACCAATGGCTACACACGAGGCGTAAGAGTTCAGATCCCAGCAGTTCGGACTTGTGCACGGTCTGTAATGAAGGGGCTGTAGAAGACATAGTTCACTGCCTAATACATTGCAGAGCGGCGACAGACTACTGGGCAAGAGCATCGGCACTCTGGGACTCCCTATTCCCAACTCCCTTCCCCGAACTTCCCATCCAACTTCTCCTCTTGACTAACATCCCTCAACAGCTCCGGAAGACAGAAAAAATCTGGTTTGGTCTTATCAGAAAGGTCACACTATGGGTCATATGGAAGGAAAAATGCAGCAGAACGATTGAAGGACTGTCCAACCCACGCGAGAAAGTTTGGGTGGAGACGAAAACGATGATACAAGCTGAAATCCTCTGCAGATGGAGGAAGACCAAGTAGTCATGGACGGAGGACGAGGAACAGCGAAAGAAGGACAGATGGACCTTCAGCAAGAATTGGTTGATAAACGGCAAGATTGCAGAGTTACGAGAAGACCGCATTTGCTGGAAGGAGTGGCACAACTCAACCCCAGGAAGGAGGCACCAGCAACAGACAGCTACGGGTAGACAAGACATTCCATGATCAGACATCCAAGAGGGAGGAATAAGACGAAAGTAAGGGTCCCATAGAGCAGGATAGTATTCGAAGGTTTAGGGATTAAGGGTTTAAGGGATTTTCAGAGAGGGCAGAGAAATTTCGGACAAGGGTCAGGATGACTTTTGGGGAAGGATGGACAAGGCAAGACTGTCCCTACCAGACGAGGACGAGCAACAGCGCACAGTACAGTTGAAGTTTACCAAGACCTGGCTGATCGAAGGAAAGTTGCAGAGATAAAGACCTTTTATGTCCGGTGGATGGACTGGCGCAACTCATAAGATGTTAAGAGAATACCAAACAGTCCCGACACAGACAACAGCGTCCTAGGCTGAGCAACAGAGATACCAAGCCGGTTTTTTGAAAGGAAGGAGACTCAGATTAGTGACTGGAGCAAGATCCTACCACTTTCTCTCGTTTTGAATAGGTCCTTTTGACAGGCCCAAGAAGGGAACCTGAGAGGAGCAAGTTGTTAGGGCAAGCTGACAGTCAATCCTCCCTCAAGAGAGCAATCAATGCTGGTCAGGGGTCCAGCCATATGGAAGGAAGCGTGAGTGTGTTTCATGATGTAATATTCCTTTATGACTTGCCGGGGGAATAGGAACCGGACTGATGCTCCCCAGAATGGAAAAGGAG